GGTAATAAAAATTTATTGTAATTTCAAAAACATGACTCACTGTCAAAATATTATTGACTGAAAAGCAATGTCAACAGTCATTTGTCAATACAATATGTGAATCAATCAGAGTCACTATATTGATCATTTTGACAAAACAAATGGTGTTTCCAAAGAAAGTACATGTGCAGACAACATGAAACTTTAGACTGCAGAAAATTTCACAAGCCGTTATCAAACTCATGTCACAGAAGTGGTAAAGGACATATGTGACAACTGAATGATATCTTTTTGTAACGTTTTTGGCCAGGGGTGGATAATTATTTTTTTAATTGATATTTGAGGTTGGGTAATCAAATTTTTGTCTTTTTAATAGTTGGGTCAGCAAAATTTTTGCCACGAAAACTATTTCTCTTCGGTGCCACCCCCCGCCATAAATAATGATATGTCAACCATAATATGTCACGTGCAGTGGCTTTAAACCTGATAAAACACTCCTAATTAGTATTCTTTATATAAAGAATACTAGTAAGGCAGTATCTATTGTAGTCGTGTTCTCATTAGTATTTTTTATATAAAGAATACTAATAAGGCGGTATATCTATTGAATTTGTAGTCGTGTTTGAAGCCGTTTAATAAACTCGCAGGTCGTGTTTTATTATGCCTAAAGCCACTCGCGCTGCGCGCTCGTGTCTTTAAACATAATAAAACACTCCTGCTCGTTTATTAAACAGTACATAATATACTTTTCTTTAACAGAATTTAACAATAATCTTCCTGCAGAAAATGCCAATTGAAACTTACAAATGTCTAATCTTACGAGGTTCGGCACCGATATGAATTCATGACCTTCAAATTCAAATTACACGCTGCATTGTCATTGGTCGGCTTTCAAAACAACAACAGAACATTCGGGGTATGACTAAAGGGAGAGTTACCAACTGGAGAGTTATCTCGGAGAGTTATGATTTCGGAGAGTTATGTTCAAACCACGCCCACTTTTCCCAACGACCACACCCAATTTCTTAACTCTCCCGACGTTCCTTGAACTAACATGAGAGAGTTATGTTTGACGTAACTCTCTCTCGTTAACATTATGAAGATGTTAAAGAGTTATCATATTTTATAACTCTCCGCGTTCACGATTATGGCAATGAATAGAGTTAAGTCAGTTTTTTGAGAAAACCTTAGTAAAGTTTGTTTATTCAGATTTTCATCTTATATTTTGGTATTTCAGTTTGTAGCGTGTCAATAGCGTGCGTCCAAACAGGAAAATACAACTTGACTCGGTCAAAACAATGAGATCAGAAGGGTCAAAGTACCCCCAGAAGCATGTTTTGACGTGTATTTTGCAGTAAATACGGCAAGCATAGTTGCAAGAAAATTAAGAAAATTGAATCTTTCAGCAATTCAGGTTTTGGAAATACTTTCCCATATCAGCCAATAGGGGGTATGACTAAAGGGAGAGTTACCAACCAGAGAGTTATCTCGGAGAGTTATGATTTCGGAGAGTTATGTTCGAACCACGCCCAAACCACGCCCACTTCCCTCAATGACCACACCCAATTTCTTAACTCTCCCGACGTTTCCTTGAAGTAATATGAGAGAGTTATGTTTGATGTAACTCTCTCTCGTTAACTTTATGAAGATGTTAGAGAGTTATCATTTTTTATAACTCTCCGCGTTCACGATTGTGGCAATGAAGAGAGTTATGTCAGTTTTTTGAGAAACCTTTAAATAGTAAAGCTTGTTTCTTCAGATTTTCATCTTATATTTTGGTATTTCAGTTTGTAGCGTGTCAATAGCGTGCGTCCAAACAGGAAATAGTACAACTTGACTCGGTCAAAACAATGAGATGCTTGCCGCAGATGGGTCAAATTACCCCCACAAGCATGTTTTGACGTATATTTGGCAGTCAATACGGTAAGCATAGTTGCAAGGAAATTGAAAAATTTGGAAAGGTTTTCTGGTTCTATCTAATACGAGAGCTGTATCTGAATGTTGGGCTTTGTAGGTAATCCAAGTGAGCATGTATAATAATTTATTTACTCGTACTCGCTTCACTTGGTAAGTAGTAAAGTACTACTAGTTTCTACTAGCGTGGAATATTACAGCTGAAACTTGAGAAAAAAGTAAATTCACAATAATTTACTAAAATGTGGAAGTTTTTTTAAAAAAACTGACATAACTCTCTTCATTGCCATAATCGTGAACGCAGTGAGTTATAAAAAATGATAACTCTCTAACATCTTCATAATGTTAACGAGAGAGTTACGTCAAACATAACTCTCTCATGTTAGTTCAAGGAAACATCGGGAGAGTTAAGAAATTTGGTGTGGTCGTTGGGGAAAGTGGGCGTGGTTCTAACATAACTCTCCGAAATCATAACTCTCCGAGATAACTCTCCACTTCATAACTCTCCGTTTAGCCGGTCCCGCCAATAGGGCATTACATTGGAAAGATTTTCTGGTTCTATCTAATACGAGAACTGTATCTGAATGCTGGTCTTGCTGGATAATCTAAGTGAGCATGTATATTTATATATAAACATTTACATATAGATGAACTTTGTAAGTACTAAAGTACTATTAGTTTCTACTAGCGTGAAATGTTAAAGCTGAATTTGCAAAAATTTACTAATATGTGGAAGTTCTTTTAAAAAAACTGACTTAACTGTCTTCATTGCCACAATCATGAACGCGGAGAGTTATAAAAAATGATAACTCTCTTACATATTTGTAATGTTAACGAGAGAGAGTTACGTCAAACATAACTCTCTCATGTTAGTTCAAGGAAACGTCGGAGAGTTAAGAAATTGGGTGTGGTCGTTGGGAAAAGTGGGCGTGGTTCGAACATAACTCTCCGAAATCATAACTCTCCGAGATAACTCTCCACTTCATAACTATCCGTTTAGCCGGTCCCGAACATTCGCAGAGGCCATTCGCTAACTCCCCAAACGTTCCTCCTCTTACCGGAAATGTTCTGTTGTTGTTTTGAAAGCCGACCAATGACAATGCAGCGTGTAATTCGAATTTGAAGGTCATGAATTCATATCGGTGCCGAACCGCGGAAGATTAGACATTTGTAAGTTTCAATTGGCATTTTCTGCAGGAAGATTATTGTTAAATTCTGTTAAAGAAATTTAGTAGATTATGTAAAAATTATCGCTCTTCCGATGTAACGTAATATGGCGAGGATGCGACAACCGAAGTTGGCGTTATTCGTTTGATTTCTGTCAGCGTTCATCCCAATTCGTCCAATTAACGGTCAAAGTGACCAGCCTTGTATTATTTCTTACTGTTAATCTTCATGTCAACCCCATCTATGGCCGTTAACCTCTTGTTAACGCCAATTTTGGCCGGTTCTCGTTAAAATCTTTCATGAAACACATGTAAGTGCTTTTCATTATACTATTATATAAAGATATAACGTAATAAATGAATAACACAGGATTTTCTCATGATTTTCAATATACTATTTATATAAAGATATAACGTAATTAATAACACAGGGTAAGATTCGCGATTTGTAAAACACGGACTCATGCAGTCCGCGTTTTCCCGGTCCAGTCCAGTCCAGTCCGTCTTTTACAACATGCCGCAAAATCCAAACTTTTTTTCACGTTTGTTTACGTTTTAAACGTACACGATGGGCGGGTCAAACGTGCATGTTGACACGTAATAATCTGTTAGTTTGAACCGCGAAATAGTGACGTTTGACAAATCTCGCCGTTGCGTTTGAACAACGCGAAAGCACGTTTCTCGTTCAAGACTGACTAGATATCCTGCGTTTCACAACTCATAATTTCCTGATAAAACAATATAAAATTTCTGTACAAATTACAGTCGTGCCAGTAGAAGCGTTCCGAACAATTTTGATCAGTTCATTTCAATGCGTCGATCACAGAACACTTTCTCGATCATTTGAAGAAGTTCCTTAGAAGTTTCCTAACTTCCTGGGCAGATAAACCAATCATGTTAGCTGTTAAATAAAAACTGAACAATCACGTTAAAGCATTGCTCAAAACGAATTTTCAATGTTTCTGTTTGACCGTTTGTTAACGTTTGCCTATAAATTAAAACATTGAATTTTCATATTTTTTTATTGTGTATTCAAAATTTTCCACAAAAGTCGAAAGCTCCTCATTACAATTGCAAAGTTCAACATGCAGTTCATGAAACATACAAATTTTCGTTCCCGTAACGAAGGGATAGACAGTTTCAATTATAATTGTAATAACGATAAATAAACATATGCTATCAATAATTTCCAGAATATTTAACAATTATTCGCCGAAGGCGAGGTGATTATCGGGGAATATTCGCCGAGACGAAGTACCTATTTACCGAGCCAAGGATTCGAGCTCGGAATCGAGCTCGGATTCGAGCTCGGAATTCGAGTTCGGATTCTAGTAAGGTTAAGCTTGTTAAGAACAATTTTACGAATATTTTGTTTGGCGTTAGTATGTGAAGAGCAATATGGCGAAGCAGCAAGTTGCTTACAATCGCTATCTAAGCAATTAAGAGGAGATTTTTTTGTTTGTTACGTAACACGCGCTCAAAACTAATTGCGTATAATATACCACTTGAGGTTATGTCTAAATTCAATGTCCGATACGTTTCTCAATCGGCAAACAAACTTAAAAAGTATGAGTTTAGTGCTTTAAGAGTTTAGTGCACTATGAGTTTAGTGCTTTATTATTTTAATGCTAAAATGAAGAGATTTTAGATGATACGCCAAAGAGAAAATTACATCTGAAGTTCAGTAAGTTTTGCTTATAGGCTATGGCTTAAATGTGGTGTCAATTTTAAAGCATCATTGATGATATTATTGTATTTTAATTGACAATTTTTAACTATTATTTTATGTTTGTCAACCGGCAGCTAACTGTATAAACTTGAGAATGAAGCAAAAACAAAGTGATTCTGAGAGGAACGCCAAAAATCGGATTTTAGGTTTTGAACACTTTTCATTGTAAATATGTACGTGACATTGAAAAAACTGATTGCTTCTTAATAAGAATGGAAGCACTGTACAGAAATGTTCGTTTGCCAGAGTCAATACGCGGGAAGGGGGTTGAAGGTCATAATTATACGTAAGCTCTAGTCAGAGCCCCTTGTCGAATAGAAGATAAGAATTTAAACATTTGCTTACTGATGAAGATGGAGCACTGGGATTTGTGAGAATGTTAATTAGTAAGAGAAGCTTCCTAAATTTAAGAAGATCAAAGATTGGGATTATTCGAATCTGGGAAAAAAGAAGAACAGAAGGAGTAGAAAACTCAGCGTCTAGAATGAGACAGCAGTGCTGCACGCTTTTGCAGTCGAAGAATGCGAAATAATAGTGTTTTTGAGCAGTTTCCCCAAGTTACAGAGCATGTCAAAACATTGCATTTTAAAGCAAATTGTATGGATTTTTTAAAATAAAAGACCTTTTCGGGAGACTATGCTCTGCCTTAAATTACCGTAGACTCGTATTTTCCGAAAAGCTAACGAACAATGACCGAGCGAGAAACGATTAGTTTAAGTTTAGGTGTTCATGTTGCATGAAGTACGAATAAAAAATCAAACAATGTTTATAAACTTTATATGGTTTCACGACAATTTCAACATACTATAAATTGTAAAATATGCATTTTTAATGCACACATGGGGATTCTACAATGAAATATGTTACAATTAACAAGGTAAGACGGCGTTTGTATTTTTTTACTAGAGTCGAGTGACTCCTCTGCTCCCTGTGCGCGTGACTTTTAAATTAATACTTGCGCGTGACTTTTAAATGAATACTTCTTTAGTTCTTTTCGAATTTGGATTGTTATATTCAACGAGTTTTATGGGATTCGATTGGGACTATTCTACAATGAAGTACTATTGGATACTGTAATGTCTAAATACACAGCAAGACGAATAAGTGGCATTTATCGGGCAGGGAAGTGGCGAGCCATTGTAATGGCGCCATATTTCAGTATTTCACGAAATGTCGAAGGACACAATATCGAAGATAATTACACTGCACTGTTTCAAAACTTGACGAAACCTTCTTTGAGATCTTCTTCAACCATTTATGATTATGTAAAAGTGCAACAACTGGATGATATTTGCCAGATTTCAGTTGGCGATAAAAAGCAAACAAGACGGCAAAATATGGTATTATATTTAAAGAAAACAATGACAATCCTTATGACAATCCTCATGATATTTGTTTTTAAGAAATAGGGATATTTCATTTCTGCCAGGCATATTAGTTATTTTATGCATAATTAGCAATTTACCTGGAGTGGTGCATGGTCATTTTCGTGTAAAATATTATACTTAGACAAATTTTTTCTTCCACTGACCACCCTAGCCTGAAATGTCAGGTTCAAGCGGGGAGAACGCCTTACATTTCAGGCTACTGACCACCCCTAAAAGCAACCCTTCTGAACACTATAAGCAGGCTATTGCTTTTCTGAAGTTACAGCTATGTTGACACTGCCTTTTCAGGGCGGGGTCATTTTCAGGACTTTTGTCCCGGATTCAGGTTTTGGCACATATGCCATGTTGACCGCCATGGTCATCTTACCCTAAAACAGTTGAGATTACCTGTGCTAAATGAAACACATACAATCTCATATACATGTCCTAGACTATAATAAAAATTAAAGTCCGATTCCGATCTCGAATTCCGATCTCGAATTCCGAGCTCGAATTCCAAGCTCGAATTCCGAGCTCGTATCCTTGGCTCGGTATATAGTATATCTCTAGCTAGTGTGAACGCGACGGCTAAATGTGACTTTCCCGCGCCGTTTTCAAACCTCTCCGGCGTAGCGCGTGCATATTGACATTTCCCCTGGGATATGTTGAATGGATACTAAATATAAACTGTAGTGCGGGTGGAGAACAACCGTTAAGGTTTGTGAGAGTCTCTATATTGGTTAATATCACGTTAAATGTTTGGCCTGCTTTTGATCATCTCTAAAGACGCGGGGTTCCATTTTCATCCAGGGATCTCTACATTATTTATAATGTACGTTCTTTATTTCTTTTTTATTTTTAATATTTAGTTTAATATTCTTGCTGGCTGGTGGAGCGATGGTTATCTCCACTTATGGTATGTTCGCAAAAAATAATTGAATTATTTTATATTTTCAGTGTGTATTGATCAATATTCATTATTGGCATTTATTTCGTGTATACGTCCAAAGGTTTTCTGTCTATTAACAAAAATTATAAAAATGAAACGTGTGCAATTAACTCCTGCTAAACTTCTCAAACACAAGTTCGATAAATTTTAAGTGTTGTACGTGTCTGACGGCATGTTTTGTACTGTCCATACAAGGGTCAAGTCATATAATATTATAAGAAAGATAGAACGAGATAGAACGTTTAATTGAATCAATAATTACAGTCGCAGAAACTGAATTACCATTGATTTTACAAAAATAAAGACAGTTCCATGTAATATATGAACAACGAGAGCGAGTGTTTCACCGGGACATCCAAACACGAGAAATTGTTTTCGAGTGTTTGGATATCCCGGTGAGACACGAGCTCGAGTTGTTTATATGGCTTCTCAAATGAATCGAGACGTAACAGAATGTTTTCGTTTGCTGATTTGAATAGAATTCTTAACCAAGCATAACGTAATTAGGAATTCTATTCAAGTAATTTTCCATGCGTAATAAGATATTTGATGAAAACACTAATGACTTTCATCAAGTTTCACTGGGTTATCCAAATGGCATCTTGTGATCAAATAGGTGATTGTCATTGGCTGAATTGCTCATGAATTATTAATGAATTTGAGAAATATTCACACAGAATATATATATATATATATATATATATATATTGTAACTAATAAATTGTCCAAAATCTAAAGCAATGTTGTTAACTGTTTAAGAATCATCTTATAGTCCTTACGAGCGCAATAAGGAATAAAGGAAAAACTAAATTTGTTCGCACGCATGTTCGGAAGATTATATTTTCCGTTTGTTCTGAGATTAATAATCACCGAATTTTTTGGAGGCATCAGTTCCTTTAGCTTGTGATCATTATATGCTGCGATTGATGAAAATAGTGAAAACAATTGGTGAAAACAATACATTCAAGATGGCGTCCTTAACCTTGGAAGGGTCTATTCACTTCTAACTGCAAAAGTGGACGTGGTTAATGTTTTAAGAAAATATATGGAACGGCAAAACACTTTCTAAGACTAGACTAGATGCATACATTCTTGTGATAAAAAGTAAGAAAACATGAGAAAAATATAACATTCTCGAAATGAACAATTCAATATCTGTATATCTCCTAAATCCCCTGCCATGCTTCATAATTATGACAAAAATATTTCATCCCAGCCCAAGTTCAAAACTTCCCCAATGTAAATGAGCCCTAACGGTTTCGTTCTCACTTGTAGATATGCATGAGATGCTTTTTCCTGGCCTTATTCTAACTGCATTTGGCGGAGGATGTTATATATCAATTCTTGTCAAGGTACTGAGATTAGTAGTGCATAGTCTGCGAAGAAATGATGGCTTGGAAGCCCATCAAATTTAAAGCCCTAAAATAGAAGCTAAAATCTTTGTTGGATGTTAAGCTGAACCTCACTGTGCACAGATAGACCTACTTTGTCATAACTCTATACCCGACACAGTCTGGAGCGAGGGTATTAATTCCGATCGGCTATTTACACCAGGTTATGTAGAACATAACGAAGTTTTAGACAGCTTTAGCAGAGACAAGACGACGTCAATCAGGACGTGAAAATGACGTCATACACCTCGCGTTCACTTCAACCCTTCTCTAGTCGCATCCAAGATAGCATCGCAATATTCCATAATTATAAGTCCCAAATGGCCACTCATACGTAGATACAGACAATGAATTTTGACATTGGTCGTGCTGTTTAAGAACCAGCCGCCATTTTCCTTCAGAATAACGTACTCCTGACGTTACGGCTGTCATAATGCGGACTGCTTATCATTATGATGCTCGTATTTTCTGTCATTTTGTTGTTTTCTATTATTTTGTAAGAATCTAATTTGTCTACGCAGGTTTGTGGTGTTCTTCCTCGACGACGTTATACCGCTATCAGTGTAATGAATGGAGCTGGTGATTCTTCTGCTATGGTGCTACTTGTATTTAAGGTATGATATTAACGGCTTATTGACCGAGCGTGAGGTCTGTAATGTGAAATTTCAGACCGAGGTTTTTTAGTCTGATATTTGGTCTGATATTTCACAGTACAGACCGAACAAGCGAGGTCTATAATCGGTTTATTATATGGCTGAACTGAGTCTGTGAGCATATGCTTTTCGCGCGAATTAAATCGGCTATCGTCAGTTTCACTGGGTAACAATATACGGTAGGCATGCATGCTCAATCAAAAACAATTTGGTTGTTTGAAATTTTTATCTGTAAATTTTAATGACACACAATTGGAAAATTAAAAAGCAAAATTTTTTTCTCTTTGCAAAGCAAAAATTTCCCGCCAGATAAACAACATCCGGGACATCGGTCCAGATACGGAAAATACGGACCACGGTCCAGATATGGGTTTTTACGGACCGCTTCTCAACCAATCAAAATAGAGAATTTTGAAAAGCCATATAATAAGTAGGACCTACTGTACGGCCCTCGAATAATAATACTTGTTCATTATATTTTCTTCATTATTTTTTCCAGTTATGTTATAATGCTGGGATTTCGCTCAAAACTATCATCATCGTTTACTATTCCTTTGTCTTTGGGCATGGATTATTGTTTACGTTTACGATATTTCCCAAAGATCTGCCAGATAGCACTCAAATGGATGTTACGGACAATGGCGGAAATAATGAAAAATATTTTAGCTCAAGTAACACTGATGGCAACGACATAAAAACAGATACAAACGGATTATTGAAAAGTGAAAATGTATTTACTGCATCAGGGCAAACTAAGGAAAATGACTCAGACAATATTCAGATACAGGAAAAACGTCATGATCGTCGTTATGCTTCGAATAGAAAATTTCATGCAGGTACACATTTCGAGATTGAAACTAACTAATATCAACCCTGGGTTAACTATAGGAAAATTTTTTCGGAAACATTGTTTTCCAGCCTCCTTTCCCGACAGTGGAAAAACATGGAAACATTTCTTCGCACCAAATGACATGCCTTGTAGATTTAAGTAAAACATGTTTCTGAAATTGTGGGGAATAATTAGCCGTTTTCACATTAGAGGACGGACAAGTCGTCTAGACGAACAAATCGTCTCAAAATCGTCTTTTAGTCGGGCAAATCATCAGATGTGAAAACGTATCGGACAAAATTTTAGACGAACAAGTCGTCTGAATTTGTTCGACTACTTGTCCGTCTGTGAAGACAATTTTTGCGAGACGATTCGTTTGTCTAGACGACTTGTCCGTCTCTAATGTGAATAGGGCTATTACTGCTTCCTGAGAAGAACACGTTACAACGATGCACTGAAGTCTGACCAGCATGTATGCACATGCGGTGGAACCGGCCATAATTCCCCGTTATGTGGCTTGAAACAGTTGTTGTGGGGGATATCATGAGTAGTATAGGGAAGGGGGGTTCTACGACGGGCGGTGCGGGCGGTGCACTTAGCACCGCCCATGACGTCATTAATTCTTAAATATTTTAATTTATTCAGGTCATTTGAATTTATTTGAGCTTACTTGTATTTTTGAACTGCTGCCGTTTGTTTATCTACAGTTTATATTTCTGGCTACTTCGCTATCGTTTGTTTTATATCTACAGTTTTTATTTCTAGCTGCTACGATACCATTTGACCGTTTGTTGTATGGCTTTTGGTTTATTTCTGGGCGCTGCATTGCCATTTGTTTTATATTTCTGGCTACTTCGCTACCGTTTGTTTATCGACAGTTTATATTTCCAACTACTTCCTCGCCGTTTGTTTCATATTTCTAGCTACTGCGATGCCTTTGTAGCATCGCTTTTAGTTTATTTTTAGCTTTTTCGTTGCCGTTTGTTTTATATTTCTAGCGACTTCGCCGCCGTTTCTTTTATATCTACAGTTTATATTTCTAGATACTGCGATACCGTTTAATCGTTTGTAGTATAGCTTTTGGTTTATA